CTTGAGATCCAGTTGATCGCACGTGGCCAGACATTTTGATATTGTATTGGGCAGAATTTGACTATTTCATTTTTCGATTAAAGAAAATTTAAAAGGTATTTTCAAGTCTTATCCGTCATTCATAAACAATTTAATTTTTTCTTTAAACAATCCCTTTCTCTATGCGATTGCCCAGAATACCTAAATTTAGTAAAAAAAAATTGGCATTGGAAATTGAAGAGATTGCCAAGATTTGGACTTTAATTTTTGATTATAATCTCTCGATTATTAACATAATCAGACGGAAATTAAGAACTCCAAGGAAACACTTACATTTTTAAATTGTGAACCTATTTCAAAGAAACTCCAATTCTTCAATTCGCCAATTCTTTCCAAAAAAACCTCTTCATCCAAATAATTATAAGTTTGTCAAATTCCAATTATTACCAAATCATAACTAATTTTACGAAAGATAGATGTCAACGCAAAAGCTTATCAAATTTTCTCCAATTATTATAATCCATAGATCAATAGATAAATGGAATAATGAAAAATCTCCGAACAGAGGATGTAATCGATAAAACTGCAAAAGGAATTCCCCTTACAGAGATTCCTTTATATAATTTTCACCAAGCAAGTAATTGCATTACACTGAGATAACATTAGGTTGATCCCCGTGAACTTGAAATACTGCACTTGGCGATCAAAAGGTAAAAATGTCGATAGAAAATAAAAGTCGAAAAGTGCGAGTGAGGGATCTTGTTTTAGTCTTTTAAAAAAGTATACCTCCGAATTTGGAAACTCGTCAACCGTGGAAATTTCCCCCCTCGCGGAGGGGTCGCGGGGGGGCTGGGGGGAGGGTACCAGGGGGGATTACCATTTATGGTATCTACTGTGGCTTATGACCGATGCGAGGAATGGCCGCCTTCATCTTGACATTCACTCCACATTTTTCTATTCGAAAGATCAGTGTCATTTCTACAAAAAATCATGTGTGAATAAATGAATTCCACTCCAGCTGAAATTTAATACTACGATTCCCAGGGTTTTATCAAATTGTCATTAAAATGATAAACAACAAATCTATCTCGTCAGTCCATCGAAAATGTCGATAGGAGAAGTCAATTGCGATTTAATTTTCATTAATTCCATATTAATGAATTCCGATATAATTTCCAACCCCTCTAAAATTATGTCCTTGAAGGCGTGAAGTAGATTTCAATTAAACCATCGATTCTTGACTTGAAAATCCATTGCAATTCAATTTTTCGTTTAATTCCAAATTAATAACTAACAGACTAAATCCTTACTATTGAAAAAAAGCAATTGAGGTCGTGAAACATATTTTAATTAACAGTTGAATTTGTTGTCTAAAAATATTGTCTAAACTATTGTCTAAATAATTGTCTAAACTTCAACTGTAATTCTATATTAACAATTAGCAAAATGAGTGAGTGTTGGAAAATAAATGCCCTTGGAGGTGTAAAATAGAATTCAATTAAACCCTCAATTTTCTCAAGTGGAAAAATAAACAGTGGTGATTTAATGCCATTCAAGATCCACAAATTAATGAGTATAATAGCCCAAGTGGTTTGAGCTGGTGAATTGATATGTTAGGTAGGGGATTCCCCCTCGGCTATACCTTTACCGGAATATAACCTAGGAAAACAAGTGCCTCTGACTCTCACTGAGTCCTTGGTTTGTTATTAAAATCACCGGTGGAAATCTGGTTACATTGTTTCGCACATTTGCAGGGAGTTCAACGACACCTTTAATTAACCAACCAACCGCCGACAATTAAGTAAAATGTACATTTACACAAACCATAAATCAACGGTTTTGCCTCTCATGTACATTCATCATACTATTGAATTTTACTATCTGATATAAATAACGCGATTATCGCTGTTACAAATTGATGGATGGTGAAGAAACTGTTTTTCTCTTTTAAAAAATTGCAAAATAATTAATCAACAATTGAAAGTTCATTCTCCCTTTTAGGAAGTATTAATTAGGTACTTCCTGGCAGCTCATAATAAACGAAACGGCAGAATTTAATTTTTTTTTAAGCAATTATTGCCGATATCTTCTTATTTTTCATGTTTTTTTGTTAAATTCTGGGAAATCCTGGATCAGATTGACGTGCAAAAATATATCGGTGTTAAGTTTTATTATTACTCAATGACTCACGAATTTTCATAGTCGCGCGTTTATCTATCTAAATTTTTGGTGAAGTTTTCTAAATTTTTTCAAAAGTTTACGGAGAATGTTTCTCAGATATGTGTGAAAAAAATCTAATAAAATAATAAGATAGAGGCAGTAACTGCTTAACTCAACGATTTTTTTCGACTCATCTTTCTAACCCAACAATTATCAAATGAATGAAAAAGCCGAAGGGGTAATCACGTTCAACGAATTAAGTAATCGTGAAGAAAAAATGCCCATCATGATGGAGATGCACTGGAGAGCGAAATAAATAAAGGATTTTATGCTTGGAGAAAAAAAATATATAATAACAGTAAGTGAAAAAAATGAGGTGTCAGTTCCTCTCGCTCGTGCTCTCTTCCGGACAAACGACGATAATGCCGGCTCTTTTTATGAGAGTTAATGAACGGTTGTGTACTTATGGCTGTCGAGCGGAAAAGTGGATGCGAGAGATGAAGGGGAAATCATTTCGATTATCAAAAAACTTGGAAACCACCTATTGTAGGAAATACATTTTTTGGCATCCCTCAAACGGCGAAATGCTAATTTTGCGAATCATTAAGTAATCAAAAGCCCAGAGCCATCTCAATGTAAATAAACAAATTTTAATTCTGCCAGTAACAGAAATTTCTTACGCATTTACTATTGTATTAGGATATCATATGAAATCAGGCAATTGTTAAAATCAGAAAAAGAAATGAACAAAACTTTTCACACTGCAACAAATCCAATTACCAAAAGTAATTACTCCGATTTTCCCCAATTGCCGATAATTCCATAATACCGCGAGGGAAAAAAATAATTCAGCCCCCCAATTCCTCCGAGAAATTATTGCTAAAAATCTATTATCTCTCTCCTTCATAATAATGATTTTGTAATCCCAAGAAAATTTTCTGTGTTCCAAATTGCAGGAAAAGTGATTTACAGAATAGCTCCAATTGTTTATAATTGGAATATAAACAATAAAAAAGTACTCTAAATTATTGAGTTATTATTCTTCATATATATTATAGGTGTGGGAAAATAATAACATGTCGGAAAACAATTTAAAAAATAGAAAGACCCTCCTTCCATCACCTGCTAACCAAGTTTTTTCAGACACCGGTTACCCCCCTCCCCCCCCAATTGTTGTCTGATTTTTCCTCGCCAAATTCCGGGAATTTTGAGTGTGTTGCAGTCCCACAGAAAGTTTAGAATATCTTGTCATTGAAAATTTATAATTTAGTGAAGAAAATAATCGAAACTGTAAATTTACGTTCCATTTTTCTCCATAGATAAATATTAAATGGTAGAATTCCTTGAAATATGTCCTTGAGGTTTGAGGGCAGTCGCATTGAATGCGATTAGGGAGAAAAAAATTATGAATATTGAAACTTTACTGAAAATTCTATGCAATTCGACAGTGAATATTTATATTGTGGGGTAAATTGGAATTTGAAAATTGGAATTCTGGAAATTCGGGAATTTTACTAAATTTTCAGTGAACACTGGGGATTTTATGCTCTTTTCACTCAATCCCGTGTAGTGTCGCCGTTCACAAAAAAGCATAGTCAACTGTCCATGAAATTTCATGTTTAATTTCTAATAACATAGTGATCTCCAAATAAAAAAAGAGGATAAGGGAACTTATCTCCAAAGACCTAACAGATTTAGCCTCAACTGAATAATTTTTGTATTATTCTTCCAGTCATTTTTATGGGATATACATACTTGAGGCAAGTACATTTTTTTTATAATTCCGACTTAAAAACTCGAAAACCTCCGATGTAACGAATATAATGCTCCCATTGGCAAGCAAAAAATCAAGAATCTAGAAAAAACGCGATGGAAAAAACGAGCAATTGGACCTAACGAGCCCTTCATCGCGAAAAATAATTACTTCTGCCGAATGAATTCACGAACAACAAGGAAATCCGCGAAAACCTGTATAGATTTACTAGTGTCAAGTAAAATAACTTAACATAAATAAACTACTTCACCAGAACTCATTATTTTCCTCAGTGCTATTGAAATCTCTTTGTCAACACGATTTGAAGTTTTTAAAAATGTTATTTAACATCGGTTTAATTACCTTATTGCAGATTGAACTATCACCACCCCACGTTAAATAATTCATATTTTGGAAAATATTTTTTAAAATAAATTTAATCGCCCTAATTCATGTAAAAAAATAATAAAATTAATTTTTTTGCGGAATCGCGGGGTAATACGGACATGTTGTTATTAAAATTAGTGTAAAAGCAATTAATTATAACTACATTAAATACCGAATTGATGGTTTCGAAAAAAAATCATTTTTTTCATTGCTTAACGACGCAATAAATTAAAAAACAACGATAAAAAAACATCCTTGAACCACAGCTAATTAGAATTTCAAGCCCATTCCATAATGTACATTATCATCAGCCATTCTTTTGCATTTCCGTTTTCTCAATTCTTTCAAAATCCCACTCAAGTCCACCAATCGCTAAATCAAATAGCTAAATACCCATTTGTTCAATTCATATTCATTTAACCATAGAAAAAAGTTAAAAATGAAGAATGATACAATTTTTAATGTCCATATTACCCCCTATATCCAGCATCCCCTATATTAAGAATCCATATTTAAAAAAAAATTCTATGAAGATTGGAAGAAGATAAATATGCTTCCATTCGGAAGCAAAAATCAGCCAGTACACTTTTTACTTTGTTTTCCGAATGGGGGAGTGAGGCAACGAACAGAATGAGAACGAGTGTGAGGCAATCATGCTATATGTTGGATATTCTTTTGGCGTTTTTTTTTTTTCGTCCGCCTACCAAAATGAAAGACTCACCTTGCTCTGGACGTAATCTAGCGCCAACATGCAGTCGGAGTAGCCGCTCTCAGTTTTAATAGTAGTTGCTCCTTGTCCAGGTGCTCCAGAACAGAATCCAGTGCCAACGACACCAACGGGGCCACCGAGTCCTGCAGCCGCTGCCGCCGCGACGCTCTCCCTGTACCAGGGATACATCTCCTCAAAACCTCACTGTTATCCCTTTCCCTCCCCCACCCCCTATCCTTATCGCAAAGTTTAATTTTCCGATCTACCAAAAATTTCACACAAACTTCAACTGAAAAACTCACTATTCACTCACTCGATCATCGAAAATCATCATGGGATCAAATCGCGAACCAGCACTTGAGAGTTTTTCTTTTTTTTTCAGTGATTTTAATAAAATCGTCACTTCACTCTTTATTTCACTTCAAGGATTTCAATGATTTCAATGATTTCAATGATTTTGATGATGATTTTAATGGTTTCGATGTCTCAGGACGTCTCACATTTTTGTTCGATTTGGTTTATTTCGATGTAGTGAGTCGATTTATACCTCCGAGTTCTCAATGTAAACACTTGAAATACCACCAACAATGTTACCACTATTCAATGTTTTGTTTACACTCGCGGAATCTCGATGACTCAAATACGAAAGAATTCCGAGTGTTTCCAACAGCCGAAAAACAAATCACTGCTTCAGGGATACTTGACGTTTAGTTAACAATCAGCCTATTACCTCTCCATTTGCCACGTGACAATTAGATTACGGGTCCTTGATTAATAAATAACATCAGTCGATTATTCGGTAATCATCTACTTTAACACTTAACTGTGACTAGAATATCGTCCACTTATTGCACGGTAAAATGATTGAGATCTCCTCACATGTTCAATTATTTTCAAAATCTTTCTAAACTCAAAAAAACATTCCGATACGTGTGCATAGACTGCTCGATATTGGCGGGAAAATCGAGCATCTCAGGATCATTTTAAAATGGCGGGAAAGCCGAAATGAAAAGCATTATTGGACTGTTTGATGTTTCGATGAATTTTCAAGGGGTGACTATTATTTCTTTCGTATCATCCAATGACATGTGAATCGCACGATCATTCCACACAATCATAGCAATGGATAATGATGATAATGGAAGGCAAATGGAAAAAAAATGATTTACTATGCAGTCACGCACTCACGCCCGGAAATAGTATGAACCGTGGCCCGCGAATGCGGTTAGTACACTGACGCGGGAGCCGGTATTCGAACCGCTCTTCGTGTAGCTTCGGCTTTTCTCGTGGCTAATCGGGATATGTCTGGTCTGTGTCGTACCACAGCCACTTGGCTACCTTCAACTGGCTAGTCATTTTACTCGGAGTAGGGGATATTTTTCTCATACACATCGGCTTGGGGAGGGGGTTGTGGGTGGATGCCACCACGTCAGGGGAAGGGGTGGGCAAGTGCATCCGCGGGGAGGTTGGACATACGCATCACCAATAAAATCACATTTTTTTTTTTCACGTTTGTTTAATTTAGGAAAGTAAATTAATCGATTATTAGCCCAATTGCCTGATGGCCATTTTTTTCGAAGTTCGACTTGAATTTATTCGTTATGACTCTAAAATGGAAAATAAAAATTTTCAAAATCGTTATTTAGAGATTTTCATTATTAGAGCACGCTGACAAAAAAAAATAAATTCGCTGATAATATAGTTCATTATATTTATTTTAAAGGTAAGAATGTTCAACAGAGAAAAAAATTTATTTCATTAATGATTTGATAAATTTTGGGCACAAATTGAAATTGGTATAGTAATTTGAGAGCAGTAGCCCTGAGTGATGATGAAGGACGAGTATCTTCACAAAAATGAAAAAAAAATCCATGAATTTGACAATTCATCAAACTTTTTCCTGCAGGCAGTTAATTAACCGGAAAATCAGTGTACGCCGGGATCGAATGAGTGAGAATCTTAATTAATGGTCCGGGGGTATGCTCATATTGCCAGTCCATCCGAGACAACGGTCATTCAATTAAAAATGTCAACATATTCACCGTGTGTGTTCCCACCGCAAAACGAACAACAATTCAACCTGCAAGAGCGTCGTTAGCTTTATGGTCTCTTCGATTTATGTCTATCATAAATTCTGTCATTTTAGGGGTAAAAAAAAATAATTTATTTCAAACGTGTAAACGATCGTGGAGAATTAACATCATTATTCCTTATTTCTTTCCTCACACCACACGATGGACCTGGTATCAAGATGTGGCAAAATGGCGCCATCGGAAAGCCAGGGAAATTTTCTCTGGAAAACACAATATGATGAGCTGTGTTGCCCCCGTACACTGAGAAAAATATTCAATAAAAATTACGTGTATTTTCCGTAATTCTGGAGCGAAATGTGGTTGTCGGAAATTTTTGGGAACTGTCACCTATTTTTTATCTAAAATCACGGAATTTTTCCGCGGTGTTCCGTAATTTTTATCTGAATTATCGGTGAAAAATAACGATACCGTCACTTAAATTTTTCGAATCAACTCCGTAATCGGTAAGTGAACTGAAAGTTCCGTAATTTTTACTAAATATTTCTCTCCGTGTAGTTCCTGAGATATAAGCAAAAACTTTTTCGTCAAAAATTTGACCAATTCAAATTTGACCCGTTTCTTTTTACATTTCAGAGGTCGCCAGCCTCTTTTCGGATCGGAAATTTCCCTGGGGATTCAATGGCGCAATCCGTGTTGCCCTTTTTCTCTATTTGTTGATAAAAAATTTGGCAATTGAATTTTTATATTGGAAAACGGGCTTTCACACAGGAAATTGTTTTCATTGCCTCGTCCACTCCGATATTGACATCAAGTAGTAAAGGCTTGCGTAAGGTCACGGTTAGACACACAAAAAGTCACCCCTAAACCTCAACGCGTCACAACAAGCATCAATGGTCCCCTCAAAACGAATAAAAAAAAATTTTTTTCTGTTGATAGTCTGGCTTTTGCCGAGGCAGTGAAGACAGTCACTGAACCTGAGTCACGCTAGTGATAAAAAGTCACCCCTCCAGGCATATCATAATCCGACTAGTAGAAAAAGGCTGTTGTGCCTTTTTCACAAATTTTTTCCTACACTTTCTTATAGGATAGTTCCTGTGGCACTGTTTATGGGTCACTATTACCGAAGAGAGACGAATAAAAACGAAACAGATCAGTTAAATGAAAAGTAATAGTTTCGTTTCATGTTTACAATAATCATGCGGAGAAAAAAAAAATTTGCTCAATTCACTATGATATTTTGTTATCGTCTTATATGTGGGCTCTAAAGAATTTTCCCACTGATGTTGTAATAAACAATTACAAATGTCTAGTAATAATAACTTGCAGTGGCAGTAAAAACAGGGGAAAAATTTCCTACTTTTTCTGAATTTACAATAGAATCTCAATATTTAAAAAGGCAATAAAATAATCAACTGTAATAACCCAAGACCGTCGAAATTCATCGGATATTTTCCTCTCATTTTCCTACATATCTACAATCGGGATCAATTTTTTAGTGAATTTAACTTCGCAAAATTGATCCCTCTCGTTGCTATACAACACAACATTCGGGAAATATCCGATAATTTTGAAAGCCTTGGATTACTAATTATAGCTGACTTTCATTTTTTATTGAACAATTAATTAATATTACAAGATTAACAGGTTGGCTTGCCAATCCCAATATAATAAATGTTCATTGAAATTTCTCGGATTTCCGATACCTTGAGAACTTGAAAAGGTAATTACTCAATTTCCTGAAGATTAAAATATGAAATATTAAATAAAACGCACATGCTAATTCAGGGATACAAGAAGTCTCAAATTTTTAAAAGTTGAAGAGTCATTTCCTAACACTTACATCTCAGTTAAAAATTCACTTTGCCACCCGCGAAAAGTGCAATAACCACAAATCGTTGTGTAAAAAAAGAGCCGGAGGGTCTGAATGAACTGGCTTGGCACTGAAGACTGTCTAGAGTCTATTGTAGGTCGAATAGAATGGAAAAAGAGGGGCGAATAGAGAGTTTAACACTCACCTTATACTAACAAGTAGCCTGTAAGAAGCCAAATACCCCTGGTCGTTTTCATCCCCCTCGTCTTCCACCACTCCGGATATCCTTGGAATCGTTTATTTGTCGTGGTGCAGTTGAAAAACTGCTCGACACGGTTTTTCGGGCATCTAGCTCGAAGGGGAAAAGCCCCCGACGGCTCTCTTCCACCGCAAGTTCAAGGCCGAGAGGACGAGCTTTTTTCGGCTTTTCGGATTGCCACCAAGACCCAGTGCCTCACATTCGTCACTATTTTAATCCATTCTCATAATTAAACAATTAATCTCCATCATTTTCAATAAATTTCCATCATTTTTGTCTGAAATTTTCTGTGAAAAATTTCCAAACTAGAATCTCCCAGGAAAAATCTCTAAAATCCCTACAAAAATTCCCAAAAAAACCAAAAACCAAATGAGGAACTAGAAACATCGAAATCTTTATTCCATTATGAACAGTGTACATTCCCAGTTGAAAAGCCAAACCACAACAAATAATACAGTCAACAACAAAACGAATTAACCAAGTGAGAAATAAAAAAAAAAATTGCTTAACGAGAGCTTCTCTCTTAGCCCGAATAGAATTTTTGCCTCACGCCTATTAAATACGACAAAATAGATATGGGATTGGAGCTGTTAATCAAAAAAAAAAATTCAGAAAATTCACGAAAAATAACAGCTATAGGTTAGTACGGAAAATGTCCTTTTTTCACATACATATTGCGACCGGGTCATTAAACCACTGAAAATGGGGAAAAAGTGAAATGTTTTTATTTTTTGGAAGAATATCCGGGAGATTTTTTTCTTTGGTGATCCAGAGAAAAAAAACTCTGGAACATCTTTTTTACCGATTTCTTTATAGAAATGTATTTTATGTTAGCTTCCGCCAAAAGCATAAACTCTGGGTCTCGTTCTCGTCGAGTGTAGAAATCATAAAATTCAAAAAATCCAAACATCGAACCAAACATGCAAATTTCAGCCGGAAAACCCCATACGACGAGCCATTTTGCCCCGCCCATATCCCATAAAAGTATTGCCCCAAGAGATGGGGCAGAGAGAACAGTGACTTGAATAATTTTCCCCTAAACTAGTCCGTGGATTTAATGAAAATTCGTAATTATCGCTTTTTAATACCGTAAAAACAGTTTATCGCCACTTTTATGTGCCTCTAAACAATTCCGTTTGAAGAATCTCAAGAAGAAGTCGAACTAAAAACCAACGAGTACGAGACTTTGAAGTGTGTATATACCCAGCGATTTTTCAATTAGACATCCACTAGTTTTGCCTGGATTCCTCGAAGAAATTCCAATCTCAACGCGTTTACCCACTTGGTTTATAGTATGTGAATGCCAACTCCAGGTTATGGGCAAAGACAAAGTAGGAATTCCAATGACTCCTAGAATCACTAAAATTCATGATATTGCGTGTGTTAAATGGAATTTCGAGAATCTCTCGAAATTCCATTTTTTGATAAAAAAAAAAGCAAAGAAAAAAAAAGGAAGAAAACTATAACATCCATCGAGTGAATAACTATTTCCTGAATTTTAATCTCATTGCTTCATTTATTCTCACGTGCAGATAACCAGAGCCTCTCGAATGCATAATTAATTAAACTGGCCATCTCGATTACAGCCTCAAGGGTGGGATTTATGTTTAACACGCATGCTAGGGCCAACGGGTTGAGAGAAATGAAATTGCACTCAAGAGTTTGTGAGGGCGTGTATTGCATTATTGGATGGAATGTTTCTTGGGGCTGGGGTTATGGTGGGTGCAGTACGCCATGCGCACTTGTGCAATGTTGCATATACTTGCTTTTCGTGAAAATCAATAGGTGTGACTGGTGGTGCATGGCGGTGCAGATATACAAGTAAAGATCGCCATCACCCACCGAAAAATTACCTATAAATTACCGCAAGTCTCATTCTACATCGAAAACAATGTATATATACCAGAAATATATTAAGATATTAACTATATGCTTACGGAGAGAAAATGTCAGTTAAAATTACGTGTCCGTCCATAAACCTTGTGTTATAGACGTTCGGGTAAAATTACCGTTGACAGAGAGAAATATTCAATTAAAATTACCTGTATTTTTTGTAATTCTGGAGCGAAATGTGGTTGTCGGTCATTTTACGGAACTGTCACA